TTCTATTTCCCATTCATCCTGAATTTGATGTGGGAGCTAAACAAAAAAATACAAAATACAGTGGAGCCTCTCCAATGATCAGAAAGGAATAAAAGCAGAAGATACGAAAATACTCAGTTACAAAGATATGGAACCTGACACAGGCAAGGAAGAGCATGGAGTGACCCATGTGCCACATTCCCTAAAACCACACCTGTGCACACGCCTGCAGACCTACAACATCAACACTCACTAACTATGGCATGACTTCAGCTACTCTGGAGCTGAAAAAGAGATCCTAAAAACAAATTCATAAGAGAAAGAAGCAAATATAAGAAAAATAAAATTTGAAATACTGAAGAACAATATCAAGAATGGCTATTTGATGCCATGGTTAAGGTACTACGTGGTATGTTGTATGCACTATATTGGTGCCTGGGATTCAAGTCCTGGCCCATGTGAACCCTAGAGGCAGAAGGAGGGTGACTCAAGCAACTGGATCCCTGCCACCCACGGGGGAGCACTGACCTAAATACTCTGTTCTTGGCTTCCGCTTGATCCAGCCCTGGTGGTCACGGAACTTTGCAGGAATAAACCACATTTGGAATCCTTTTCTCATTCTCTAACTCTTCATCTTTCTCTCCCTCCTTCCCTCCTTCTCTGTCTTTTTCCTTGTCCATCCCTCTCTCTCCCTACATTTAAAAGCCAATAAAAATATCAGAAAGATCAACAATAATCTTAATAAAGCCATACTGGCTTAAAGAGTCCATATCACAAAAAACAGAAGCAATTCAGAAATCTCCCATCAGCAAACAGCATCAAAGCATATAGAAGCGAATAAAGAAGAAAACCTAAAATTCCACTTTATCTTTCCTGTTGCTTTTTGGGAAAATGGAATTAAAGGCTTATTTTGGTGCAAAACATGTTGAAAATAAAATGCATGGTGTCTGTTGAATGTTACTTCTCCTATACACATATGCAGTGTGCTGAAGATCCTGTACACATATATAAACACAGAGGAGAGACATGTTTTTTAAATGTGTGCTAAACAAATGACTGAAAAGCCAATAACAACCAAAAACATTGTCATGCTTGGATTGCCTGAATAATTTCCATAAATCTATTTAATTTGAGCATCTCACAGGTTACATTCTACAATGACGTGCACACAAAGCTGAATCTGATAGCACAGAGTACATCTTTTCATGAACTTACTATCTATGTATTCTGTACTGTGTGAACACAGTTCAATAGCTTCTGTCTTTATACTGTCATCTGTCCAGGAGGTGTTCAAAGTACTCTAAAACTATAAAGATGGAACCTCACACACAGATTTATTTTGTTGTTGTGCCTTCTGGAATATCTGATTCCATACTGAGAGTAAGTTGTGAGGCTCACAGGTAAGATGAAGCGAATATGAGTAGATGGAACACACCTGCTAATCGTGAACATTTCACCATCAATGTGATCATCAAAAGTGTATGTGCATGTTCATTACAGATATCCTGTCTCCCACACAGTACGTTTGTCTTTGGCTGATTGAATCTGCATATGTAGAACCAAGAGATGTGGGGTGCTACTGTATTCAGGAGCCTCAGCATGATTTTCATGCTCACCTCTCCATCTGCTAGGTGTCTCTTTGTTGCTGTTGTGCTGTTCTACTAGATTTACACTGCAGTGTTGGTAAATTGTTTTTCCATTCAACCCATCCGAGCCTTTGTTGCCCAATCTTTTCTTGCCTTTGTCATCTTCTCTGGAGATGTCCATATGATCACATCAAGAAAGGTACCAGAAAGTTAGGGCTGCTGTGACTCAGAATTTGAAAGTGGATTTAGTTTCTCTTCCACTCAGGATGCTATTTGGTTTATGTAACATTAGGATAATTCTACAGTTAAATAATGTATTTCCCTAGCTGAGCAGGCTGTCAGATATTGGTTGTAAGATACTGATTTTATGAACAGCTTATGAGGACAGCCCAATTATGTTCAGTTGCAGGGGTGGCTTCTCTGAGACTGACGTTTTCCACTAGGATAAGGATTTCCAGCAGGCAGTGGTTCCACAGGCCCCTTGGGAACCCTGCTTCCCAGATACCCACTAACTTTGACTCCTACCATTTTGTAGAAGTTGTGGAGAAAAGTAAACCCTTTAATGATGGACAAGCTTTCTGCAGTCTGGACTAACATAGACTGAGCACTGCCAACAATATAAAACCATAATCCTCTTGGGCATCTACCTGATGCCACAAATAGAAAATCTCAGAAAATCTTATTTCACGACAAAAATTACTAAAATATTATATTCTCTCTGACTATGTGTGTAATGTATATAAGGAACAAATGAATTTTGTATTTAGAGTTGGACCCTAGCCATGTAGTTCATTATGTATACACAGATATTGCTTGAGAATTGATACAAAAACTACTGCCAGTACCAAGCCACACCTTCAACCAGTAATACAACATTTCTATACTTACTTGAAAAATGTTTTTTTGCATGAAAAGTTACTTGGAACTTCAAAATAATTCAGCAATCAAGAGAGAAATTAAAATGAGAAAGAAAATATTACTAAATTTCTTCGTGATTTATTCTCCCCAAGAAAATGTCAAAATTTTGAAATTGATAATACATCTTTCAATTGGTACGATTGGTATGTTAAACTTTAGTCAATTTTCTGGGCCCAGCCTGGTAGCGTAGCCTAGTAGCTAAAGTCCTTACCTTGAATGCACCAGGATCCCATATGGGCACCGGTTCTAATCCTAGCCACCCAACTTCCCTTCCAATTCCCTGCTTGTGGCCTGGAAAAGCAGTCGAGGATGGTCCAAAGCCTTGGAACCCTGCACCTGTGTGGGAGACCCAGAGGCTCTTGTCTCCTGGCTTCAGAACAGCTTAGCTCCGGCCATTGTGGCCACTTGGGGAGTGAATCGGTAGACGGAAGATCTTCCTTTCTGTCTCTCCTCTTCTCTGTATATCTGACTTTCTAATAAAAAATAAACAAATCTTTAAAATTAAAAAAAAAAAACTTTAGCTAATGACCATAATTTTTGTTATCTGTGTCTCAATCTTTTGGGTCCTGCCATAAACATTTTGTACAACTTTGTGGGTTTACCTCATGCTTCCCACTCTGTTAGATCTGTTTCACATATGCACTGCTTAGCCTGCATGATTGAAGGTAAATGACAGTGGAAAACAATGCAAAGCTATTTCTGTATTTCTATTTCCCTCTGATTAAGTCTACTCTGCTGAGCTACATCCTTATTGTACCAATAAGTAGAATCTTGGAAGAATTTAGAAATGAACAATTTCCAAGATTACTCTCAAGTAACCATATGACTACAGAAAACATCTAATATAGGCTATTTATGTTTTGGTTCCCATCTATGAAAAATGGCCAAGGTTTTGATTTTTAAAAATATATTGATGTGCCTTAAAAGCTACTGAAAGTAGAATCAAAAATTAAGCTTATTTTACTGTAGAAATACTTTTAAATGTGTGTCTAAAGCAGAGTCATGGAGGTAGGGTTGGGGATGACTCATCAAAAACTTCATGGAAAATGAGTATGCATTATGAAAAAAGCCAGGCATGGATTTTTCAAGAAGTTTTGTAACATAAACTTGTCTTTTAAGTTGTCTTGGACTTTAAAACAAAATAATCACTAGAAAATAATCTTTTAGCCCTAAGACCAAGAATTTAAAGCAACTGGTATATGTTAAGAAAGGGAAAAAAAATTAAAGAGTGAAGACAGATTTCATATGCTACAAAAAGCTCTTACAGTAGCTTTCTGGAAATAAGGAAGAAAGCAAAGATGAATTTGGAGCATAGAATTTCTGTCCTCTATATATACTGCCCATTAGGACAGTCTCCACCTGGCACAGGAAACGAAAAGTCAGGGAGAAGGCTGAGTCACACAGCATAGCACAGAGCCAGTCCCTGAGAGGGAGCCTCCTCCAAGGCACATTCCCCACCTGACCCATCTCAGGACAGGACACTGGGCTCTGTCCTGCGTTGCCCAAAACCAAACGAGCAGAAACAACCATTTGTTTGAACTGTGATGATTAAGAGAGAGAAGAGACTTAAGAGCCAGGGAATGTAAATACGTATCTCACATTCTGGGTGCTATGACCCGGCCCAAGGAGGGGTGAAAGCAGGCAGAGAGATGACGGGGACAGAGGGGAAGATGGAAGCCGATGGGTTATGGCTGGGGAGGGGTGGTGGATGCAGTACACTCAAGGGCTAGCCACTCACCTCAGGAGTGAACTCTAATCAACAGACAGCTTTGTAAAAGACACACAACAAAACCAAGGTGGGTGAGGAACAGCCCTGGTCGAGAAAAGGAATGAGCAGCCTACACATTCAGGGTTAAGGAAAAAAAGAACAAAATCAGAGAGTGATACTGGACAGGAGGACGGAAGTGCAAACCTAAAGCCTAAAGAGCATTACACTGTGGGTAGAAGATCCCGGTCATTTAAACCCACTCCTTGCATCACATTCCAGATACCAAGGCTACATTCTTACACGGTTTGCCATGAAAATTGAAGACTCGTGGCACAAGTCCCACAGGTTATATTTGCATTAAAAACTATATTTTTAATTATCCAAGTAAAGGAATATGATTAATTTGTAAATTGAGGCTTCCTGGCTTAGAAATCCAAATAACAGAAAGACATTCTCTCTTGCTCTTTGGATGAGGGTGGGGGAAGACGAAAGAGACAGACCACCAGATTCTGTAGATTTTCTTCAGAAGGAAGAGTAGGGGTGAAGTACTCTATATTGTATTTTCCAATGCTACTCTAAAAGAAATGTAATAAGCAGACCTTCCATACAAGATGGTTAAACAACAGCAGAGAAAACAATACATTCCCACAAGCAGCATGACACGCAAAACAATGGTCCAATCAAAACCCTCATGATCAGGACCTTTATTCATAGAGACCCCCACATAGGGCCAAGGTGCTGCTTCTGTTTTCCAGGGTTCCTCCCTGTCCATCCCAGGTGAACCCACAGATGGAGATGAGTAACAGTACCTGCAGCCAGAGACTGTCGCTCGCCACAGTCCTGCCGATGGCGCTGCACTGGAAGGTGGCAAACTGGCCGGCGTTCACTTCCACGTTCTGAATCCGCAGGAAGTGGGGAGTTCTGGCTACAGGAAGAAAAAAGAAGTCAAGATATTAGTGTGGAGCTTGGTAACTAATATGTGTCTGTTTCCTTCTATGTGCAATTTGGGTTTTCCATTTTGTTCGCCTTAGGGAAAAAATAATTTACAAGAGATTTAAAGGTTTCACTAGACTCACAAAAGGTATGATAAAAGATTTCGGTGTGCTTTCTAAAAGAACAAACAAGCCATGCAATCTGGGATCGAATCAAACAGAGAGAAGATATTTTATTGTTCCTGCTGTGCAAATTATCATAGCTCAGCAGTCTTCTTGTAATAACAGATCTGTATTAATAAAGATTATACGAAGCCTAATTGATGTTTTGAACAAAAACATATTAGGTATTTATACTGGCAACATGAAAAGAACAGTAAGAAGTTAAGCAACGTTGCCAAGGAAACTTTTTAACCTAAGTACAAGAGCTGTGCGCAATATATATTTTAATATAACCAATCAGTATGCAACAATTCTTGTGTAATATTTTAAAACTCCCCAAAATACTAGCCTTCCAGAAACACACTCTGGGAAATGATCTTGGCGGAGTGGAAGTTCTCAGAGAATCCTGTTTCCAGTTCAGGAAATAAGAATGAGTTCCACATGCTAAACAGCATTGTCCAGTAATATGCAGTGTCTACATGGGATAGCTGTTTAAAGAATGCCTAATTCTTCTTGATTCTACAGATCATTTCTGCATCACAGTGAGAACAGGTGTTCAGAAACTGGCCTTATGTTTTATGACAATTTTGACTTTTATGAAAATATTCTCTAGTCATCATCCTAATAGAGTGAGGGTAGCAGAGGACAGCAAAGGGAGACTGACAGGTGGCAGATGGAAATCAGAAAAGGAAGAGAAGATGACAACATTATTTTGGAAAGTGGAGGCAACAGATAAATCTGGATAATAAGTCGGATAAATTTGTATGCCCTATTGTTTTTCTACATTTTCAATGTATTTTATGGCCATGTCCAGGCACTTTGAAAGATTAGTGTCCCACTGCTTATATACCCAAGATTATAAGCTCACAGTCATTGTATGCTGAGCGGAACATAATTAGGAATGGAAGTGGGTTACCATCAAAGAACAAAGAAAAATGCATTTTAATATCACTAACACACAGTAAAACCCCATTACTAACTTGGAGTCCACTAATAATTCAGAGAGCATATTTATTTTAGCATAAAAAAATTTCAAATGAGTTCTACAAAAGCAGCATTAACTCCAGATCCTTGTTTCTTAATATATTAATGCACAACTCTAACAAGTCTATTTGTCACTGGCTTAATCAAATTACTCCTTGTTCAACAAAAACAAAATCACAGAGCTTTCTTCAAAAAAAAAAAAAAACTTTGTTAAAAAAAATGCCTAAATCAAATTTATTTTCCATACTTCAGTTCTGGGAAATGTAAAGATCTAGTGCTTTTAGAAAATAGAAAAAAGGAACATGTATTGAGTTCTTAAGTGCCAGAGGCTTTCTCACTGGCCACTCATAATCGCTCTGTGTCATGAGTACTTGCTCCACTTTACTGATGGAGCGACTTGTGGGTATTTGCTTAGCAGGTAGCAAAAGCAATATGCCCACTGGAGTCCATTTGGTGTCAAAGCCCACCAGGGAGCCACAAGCCACTCCCAGCCCTTGTGCCATCCCAGACTTCACTAATGCTCCTGATTCCACTTGCAGCAGCTCTCCTCACCACCTGCTGAGAATTTAGCTTCTTGCAAGACTCTTCTCAAAACTCTTTCCCTGAAACTTGTTTGGCTCTCTTTGTTGGAACATCTAATAGCATGATAGCAGCAGCACTGGGTGCCACAGCACTTGAGGCTAATGCCTCACGCAGAGCAGGCATGCAATATCACATTTGATTGCTATTACTTAGAGTTAACACGCACCTGCATGCAACCTGTAAAACCATGCACATGATGAAATGGCAACTTGCACTCTTTCATCCTTTGACCATACCTCTGATACCAGTGAACAGAGCTACACTTGACACTAAATTGACAGCAATTCTAACTTACATTTACTCGCATCAGAAGCCCTAACATTAATGGAGGTGTGTATGAATCCTAAGACCTGACTAAATTAGCAAGACTCTATTTGAGGGGAAGAGCTGTTTCCTTAGAAAGGAAACTGAAGCAAAATTTAATCAAACTTTTTAATCAAACGTTTAGTGTATACACTCATGTAGATACATATGAGACTAAATGGAAACTGTTTTCAAATTCCACCCCCCATTAAAGAAAATTCAAAGTAGACTGCCCCAGCCACATGCGCATCAGCCCACGTGTACACTGGATCAGTGGAAACTGATTTCTCCGTCCTGGGGTAGACATTAGCCCTTCACATGAATGTTAGGCGGACCACTGCAACAACCCTTAGACACACTCGCACGTACTCGCTCACCTTCGCCTACACTTCCTGTCAGCCACCAGAGCCAACACTCAGTCATCCCTGACTTACACCAAAAGGCTTCGGGCTCCTCCTAAGAAAAGTGCACTTCTCAGATAGCCAAAAACCCCCAACCAACCCAACAGCTTTCTCCCATCCAGACACCGCTTGGCACAGCCTGATTTTTTGTCCAAATACAATTTTTCCAAAGTCCTCTCTGCAGGTCTGTCCTTTGTTTGTTCATCTCCCATGGAGGTGTCTGGGAAAGAGTGTGTCTCCTTCATTTTGCAGGTAGGTACACAGTTGGTCTGCAGAGGGACCCTTCTGCATCCGCATCCCAAACTCAAAAACCAAAAACTGGAGTGGTGACATGTCCAAGCCATAGCTTGGAAACACAGAAACAAAATGGTAATTTAATCTCTTGCTAAAACAACACCTCCCTCCACCCTCCACCCCCCACCACACACACACAGACACACACACCCACACACCCACACACACAAAACCTAGGACATTTGATGTTCCCTGGGACAGAGGAGCTCTGAGAGTCTGTACACGGGTCATTCTCCTGCCAGCCAGCCAGCCAGAAGCTTGGAGGTCACTCTGGCCATCACCAGTGCCTAGGAGCCACAGCCCTCAGGAGGCTGCCTGCGCCAGTGTGTTCTATCAGGACAGCTGCTGCAGTCCTAGGGAGACAGCAACACAGCCGGCTCTATCCTGGACCCCAGAATCACTGCTGACGTCACACCCACATGGAAGCCAGGTCGGATCAGAGGGTGACACACACACTCAACTGGGGAACGCCTGTTCCTTGGAGAGTTAATTACTTTGCTTAAAAGAAAATGAAAGATCCTGCAATGGAAAGAAGGAAGCATCTGAGCAGCGGGGGAGGGAGGAGAGTGGGTAAGGCTGGCTAGCCGAATGGCTATTTGAAGAGATTAAAGTTACAGTCAGCTGGTTGGACAGAGATGCGGGGAAGTGGGGACCCACCAATCATTGCCAGCTTACATTGAAATGAAGGCCTCAGTCCACAAAGGCTTCTGCAGTCTCCACCCCCACTGTCTGTGAGATCACCTGCCTGTGACATGGGAGTCCTACTGTTCTTTGCCTCAGCAATCTTCTGGTGTGTGTGTGTGGCAGGGTGCATCTTCTGCACCCTCCTTGAAGTTGCTTTTTGCATCTGTGGTTAAATCATTGAATGGCCACAGTCTGTGTTGTGCAAGAAAAGGACGGAAGATCTTCCTCTCTGTCTCTCCTCTCTGTCTCTCCGCCTTTCCAATAAAATAATAATAAAAATAAATCTTTAGGGCCCGGCGCGGTGGCGCAAGTGGTTAAGTCCTCGCCTTGCACACCCGGGATCCCATATGGGCGCCGGTTCTAATCCCGGCAGCCCCGCTTCCCTTCCAGCTCCCTGCCTGTGGCCCGGGAAAGCAGTTGAGGACGGCCCAAGGCTTTGGGACCCTGCACCCGTGTGGGAGACCCGGAAGAGGCTCCTGGCTTCGGACCGGCATAGTATCGGCCGTTGCGGCTCACTTGGGGAGTGAATCATCGGACAGAAGATCTTCCTCTCTGTATCTCCTCTCTGTATATCCGCCTTTCCAATAAAAAATAATAAAAATAAATCTTTAAAAAAAATAAATAAATCTTTAAAAAGAAAAGAAAAGAAAAGAAAAGGCTCCCTGAAGTCAGGTACAATCATGTGCTGCACTGCATGGAAGATGTCCTTGGGCTGGGAGCTCTCTCTCCTTCAGCAGGACATTGCCTCTGCCCTCCTTTCTTTCTTGGTTACCACACTATGCTAAGAATAATTTAGAACTTTAGTGGCTCCACCCTCAAATCAGATCTCCGCAGTTGTCCTCTAAAACCTTTTTCCTTGCACTGTAGCCCCTGACATTCATTGTAGTTGCTGGAAGATGAGGCTCTATGGGCCCCTATCTCAGAACCTCACTAGGACTCAGACATTTCCAAAAAGGCAACACTGGACACAGAAACAAAATACTAATTTGTGACAAAAGTTAGCCCACTAATTTTTTTTTTGAAGATTGTACAAAGGTACTTCACAAAATTTGTGAAAAGTGGAATTTGGGGGGTTGGGCATTGTGATACTACCACTTACGCAGTACCAAGCTCAGCTCACTGCTCCTCTGTTTCCAGTCCCACTTCCTGCGGATGCAGCCTGGAATCCGGCACGTGGCCTGGGTCCCTGCCACCCACATGGGAGACAAGGATGGAGTCCAGGCTCCCATTCATTTCACTATGAAACAACACAGCTCTAGAAGTTGTAAGGAGGAGTACTCACAAAATTGTCTAATTGACTACAGAATGACGGCATCTGAAAACCATTCACAGTTGTCTATATTTTCATTTTCTTTGCAAAATTCAACTACTAACAGTTGAAAATTATGAGAATTATTTGTATGTGAAAATATCGCAAAGAAAAGAATGAAGGAAAACCAACTCCAAATGAAGATACGTAAGGAACCAAGGGTGTGTATTGTCAAAGGAAAAAGACAGTACATTTGTCCTACAGTAGGATGATTAGTTTTTTGAAACAAGCAAGGAGAAAGATGGAAATAGAGGAGACAGGAAATAGATCAAAA